AAAATGAATTACTAAATCAAGATTTACTTACATAAAATGCAACGACACGTCGACAACACTAGCAGTGCAAATGTGTAATCCATAGGTAGTTTAATAGAAGCATTGAAAAACCCACGAAGGTAAAGGTCTTGCGAAACAAATTCAAAACCTGCACAAATTTAAAATTCATTAACAATAACAAAACCCACAAAAATCAAATCCAAGAAACAAATATAAAAAAAATATAAAAATGACATGTTCTTTCATCTAAAGAGATGTGAACGGATTTTCCATCTTTGATGACCATAAGATTATCATTTCCAAAAAGGTGTGAGTACCCTTCATCAAATGACTGCAGCGTTCTTTCTGGTTCTGGTCGTCTCCAAGGATTAGGTTTCGTGCCTGAGTAATGAACCTATAAACGATAAATCCATCCATGATCCGGTGGACCAATAAGGAAGGCCCAAACTACGACAAGGAAAGAAAATAAAAATTCAGGCCCAACCAACCCATTCTTGGTAGATGCAGCCCACAGCCTTGTCTTCTTCTCCATTTTTTCCCGGTGGGTGGCGGACGGCGACCTGAAGGCTGAAGCTCCTGGTGGATCCAGCACGGGTGGCCGCGGGGGCTGGCCAGGTGCTGGATCCACCCCTGGTGACAACCATTGTCCCTCTTCTTTCTCCTTTCACCACCAAGCATTTTTTAATCGATTCATCGCCAAAACACCAACCAAAATGTCAAGTGCTGCACGTTCTGCTGTTGTGACCACTTTTACCACACCGACCACATTTGACAATTATATTCTCTCCATATGCTGATCTGAATCTCTTCTCAGTTGGGCTTCCACAACTACGCTTTTGATTAGGTGCTAGTACAACTATGTATTGACATCATCTGGCACTGTCCATTCAACTGGATTCTCGATGGGGAAAATGGTTTCCTGGTAAGTGTTTCTGTATGCTTCACTTGTGTAGTAGTAAGAACAATATTCATATGGATCAATCTTCATACTTGCAAACAAAGCCAACGCTTATGGACAAGGTAGTTTATCAACTTGAAGCATCCTACATGTGTATGTATGTTTCTCTATATCAATAGCGAAAGATGAACTTTCACTGCTAATTGAGAACGTTGTCTGATTAACGGGAGAAATCTGCAATTATTGATGCAAGTTATACACATAATAATTCATGTAAACAAATTGGGAGGACACGAATGCAAAGTGCAGATTTCAAAACCAGATTGCACACATCACACAAACACCACAGTACAGGTCACAGCTAAAGTCACAGAACTTTTATGAGGCAAAAAAAAGAAGAATTTTCATATTTTGGTTTAGGCAGAGAAGATGTTGAAAGTCACAAATTATAGTTTAGGTCACAATAATTAACATTACCCTCAATTTTCTCATGTCTGTGCCCATTCCCCTTATATTCTTCTCATACTTGCTCGACAAGGTCGTAAAAGTGCCTTGTGCGGAGTCTCTATGTCTGTAGAATCAAGACTGAATAATTTGTCGTAATGAATCTAACAAAGCTAAAAAAGGGTAGTTTATGGCAGCCTTTGTGACCACATTAACTGACTTCACGATATTAGATGTCATTATGGACTACTGATTCGAAGGCATGTGGAAACGTGACC